ATAAAAATATAACTGCGTGAAACACACAGTAGTATAAAACTTCAACTGCGTGAAACACACAGGCGTATCAAAATGCAACTGCGTGAAACACACAGGTGTATAAAAATACAATTGCGTGAAACACACAGTAGTATGAAACTTCAACTGCGTGAAATACACAGCAGTATGAAAATTCGGCTGCGTGAAACTCACAAACTTCACGCATGCGTGGAGTGTATGGAGTGTACCGTAGTGATTCACACAATGGTGCGAATAGTCACGGCCTTAAAAAAAATTGAAGATAATTAATTGAAAATGAAAAATTCTTTATAGATTCTTTTACTCTACTTCGCTATTCACTTCAATCATTAGTCGAATTCTCTTTGATTCATTATCAATATTTATAAGGTATTCATGAGAAAATGACATTCAATGAATTCCATTTCTTCATTTCAACAAGTGAATAGATAAGCGCGCGCGAGCGCGCGCATAGATCTTGTAAAACTGAAACTCAATAGATGACCCAAATAAATACCTGAGGATTATTCAAAGCGAAAGACCCAACAATGGACTTCAACTCATGGATAAAAACCTTCGTATCATCAATTCGGTCTCGGAAAAACTTCAGAGAAACTGTGGTTCCCGGTGATGGACGTCTCGGGATCTTTCTCCTCTCGAAGACCAAATCTTTCGTTATCATCTGCGCAAACAGAATAAGGTAAATGACCCTACACTGAGAGAAAATAAACACGTTGTCAAACAAGTCTTGTTTGGGCCAACAAAATCGCTAATTGAAAATTGCCAAAAAAGAATTTGTTTGGTTCGAATTTGAAAGTCTCAAACATGAATAATTGTTCTGCTTTCGACAGCAACGAAATATTTGGCTCAAGAGGCGGATAATTCACACCAGACGGTGCCTTTTCAGGATGAAAATATCTCATATAGAGGAAAATTTATCAACAAATATTTTATCCCTAAGTTACAAGATTGCTATCATATCATTATTATTGTTTCATTTAAGGGTTCATTTGTTATCTGTGATTATTAGACAGTCGAAAAGAAAAACTTCAATCCCTTGTTTCGCATAAAACAAAGATTTTTCGGGAGCAAAATACGTATGGGAGCATCGAATAACGAAGGAGTAGTGCTAGAAATGACATTTCTTGCGTCTACAGAGAATGCAATTTTTTTTAAACTACTAAATCTATTTTTGCGACAATAATTTTTCATTCCAGCGCACTCTCTCCATATTTGGCACAATAAAATCCTTTTTTGATCATTTTCAAAAAACTATTTTCTTGCCACAAGTAAGACTTGTTTGAGAACTTTATCGTTTTTCTCTCAGTGTAGAGACAGGGATAAGCATAGGTACATTTACGTTATTAAAATTCACAAGGGAAAAAATGAACCATAAAAAAATGTATAAGGGAGGGTGGGGTAAAATGGACACTAGACTTTTTTAAATTGTTCATAACTCAGAAACAAATTCGTCAATTGACCTCAGTTTAGGCTCGTCACAAAGGGAAAGAACTGTTCTTTATTGAAAAAAAAATTATCAAATTTCATCAACATTTCAACCCCTTATTAACATTTTTAAAAAGTCAAAAGTGTCCGTTTTACCCCAACCTTCCCTAATCGTATTCACCTTTCCGAAGGTATCATTGTCTTTGTGTCTACTCATAACAAATACGGAGGCTGTGACCTCTCGCAGCCTCACGACGTTCGTCTCAAACAATCGTAAACACTGGGATGCAATCAATCCCCCCGCATTATTCTCGTCAACCGCAAGATTTTCCAGATCATCGGGGGCCAGTCCTTCCCCATTATCACCCACGAGAAGACGAAGGCCTTTCTCGTGGAAGCGAATAACGACGCAAGATGCATTTGTGTTCAACGAAGTCGTAACCTATCATAACACGAGTGAATGTCACCATGAATGTCATTTCTTTAGAGCAAACAATGGAAGAAGAAATATTTTACTCACGAGAGCCTTCAGACACTTGTAAACAATCGCGCTGAACGATTCTGACATGTTTTAATATTTTAAATCCATAAATTTGACAATTTGAGGATTACAAACGTCAGTAAACGCGAGAATTCATGGGAATTTCAACAGATAGACGTGAACGCAGTCAAAAAATTGGAACTAACGGAATCACGAGGATCTGGCAACGCTGGACGCGGTCCCGTGCCAAATTTACCGACTTCTCTGTGTGAATCGCTCATGCGCATGCACCCAAAGGACGTACGACATTTTGTATTAGAACAACAAATAATATATACTTTCTGAGAGTGACAGACTTGTACTGAATTATCATGAAGTATCATTTTCACTGGAATAATTGATACATCTGTGGTCGGAATCATGCCTAATGAGAATAAAAAGGAGCTTCAAAAGTGCACACTTTGTAGGATTCCAGTGACTGATGGTTCACAAATATCGCACTTTCCACACTCGTCATCATTCGACCATTCGACTTGGACTCTCCAGCAATTGTTAAAATAAAATTCAATTTCGCTCTAAATCGAGACTCCGAATTTATTCCTCGACCTGCTCACCTCCACAGTACTTTTGAATTTGGCGCGCAATCGAATGTTGGCGAAATCGCCGCCGCGCCTACTACAGCGCTCCGATGTGTGATTCCCTCATTTACATACAAAGTTCCGTTTCATTTCCATGGGGTTTTTTATATCCACCAATACTGGTGCCTATTGAAAATGAACGGAATCTCATTCAAGCCTCTGAAGTTCCTTTATCCTTCCAACTTGCGATCTACCAACCACCTTTTCGGAAAGAAACTCAAATATTTTCAATTTCGTGAAATGAAAAAACACATGGGGTGAAACTAAAGATTCGTGACTCTAATTTCTGGGTGACCTAGGTAGCTAATATCAATTTAAATTTCTTTGAGACACCTTATGTAATAATTGTGGTTGCTCAGGTAGTTGTACGGGACCTCCCTACCGGCTCCTTCAACAGGTGTATATTTTCTAAAATTGTAAATTGGGATTTCAATTAAATTCACTAAATCACATTCATTTAGTTTCACCGAAAATGGAAAATATTATATATATTTTTTTTTTTATGCTTATTTTATATCGCTTTGAGTCTGATGAGACTATATGGCGATTGATCAAGACTTTAAAAATGGTTAGATCTCACCATTCTACCCGGCCAGGAATCGAACCTGGAACCTATCCGTTGTGAGGCAACGGCCTTAACCACTACGCCAGGCCACCGGGCTAAAATAAATATTATATTTGAAAATGAAGTAGTCAACATATAGACAAGGTCCATACGTCACAATACATTTTTCAATAAATCATCTCATACATTTTAAAAGAGAAAATCAGATAGAGCAGTTTCATATTTATTTTACAACTGTTTCATCTTGATTTGGACAATATTCAATAGTTAGGGTTTCAACAATGAGCGTAGTTCTATTTCGATCGTTTTAGAAGCCATTTTCAATGATCAACGACTTTTATTGATAATTTGTAACGTATTGTCACCATTTTCATCTGTTTTATAAACAGAAAAATTAAAATTTTGAATTTTCCAACTGAACAGAAAATATTTTTACTTTCATCCTGTTTCTATATCATACGTTGGGTAACATTCAATAGTTTCCTTCTATCATATAAACTTATAATACATAGAATTCGAGAAAAATCATTAATTAGAAGCGAATTGGTCCAGGGAATATACTACAATTTATTGTTTGACAAGGGCGTTGGCAATTTCGTCGATGAATGTAGCTAGCTTAACGTCCCGCTGAGACACTCCATTAACATCGTGAGATGTTAACGTGATGTTGACTCGGTTGTAGACGTTGAACCATTCAGGATGGTGATCCATTTTTTCTGCCTTCAGCGCGACTCTCGTCATAAATGCAAATGCCTGTGGAAGATGATGAAATCATGACAATTTATTGTCACATGACACAAATGTGACTGTTTTACCCTGTGACCGTCACATCTCATCTAATTAGTGACCATAGATGGACAATCACAAAGCTTCAACATGCGTGTTAGTCGTATTTCAGGTTAAAAAAGAAAAATCAGTGGTGAGTTTATTGACCAAGTGTCATTTTTCTCACTGGGAATGGTCGAACAGTTGAGATCAATGAATAAAATAAATGATTTCACGCCAATTTTTCATAACATTTTTTGACATGATATTCATCTGAAAATTACACACAATTTTGAAACCGGATAGTCTACGGAAATTTTCAACTGAAAAATTCACTCCAGATTCAACATTCTCTGCCTGAAGACTTTCAGGCGATGGGCGCATTGGCACCCTTGCACCGAAAAACCATTGCAATTTGAAAATTTGGGACAAGTTTTTGTAACAGAAAAATTTATGACGGTCACATTACATCTAACTAGTTGATCATCATATGTGAGTCGACAGTGTGACCCAAATTATGACATTAAAAAATGTGACGTCACATGACGGTCACACGACCGTCATATTTTTGTGACCTGACAGATTTCAAAACGTGACGTTATTTCGGATCCCTAGTAACCACGTGTTATGCTTACGGGAGGGAATGAGTGACTTGTTATGGTATATTTCGGCTGTTCTCTGACAGAATTTTTTTTGACATTTTCCTCGTCACCCAGTCATTACAGAAGCAATTGAGTTATGAACAAAAGACGGATCAATGAATAACGGTCCAACACAATAAAAATATTGTTAATTACAATCTCATAATCAAGTGATTCTATTAGAAAATATCGAAAGAATTTTTTTAAGCTTATGAATCTTATTAAAAAAAAGTATGAAATTCTTCTTTGCACATACTCATTACCGAGATAATTGAATGATTATCAAAAGATGAAACGATTAATGACGATCATTGACAATTGAATTTCACGTGAAAACACTAGACTTTTTATTATAAATTTTGGGCTCGACAAAAAAGGTTCTCTGCACATTTCTGTCCACTCATTATGAGATGAAAGGTCACAGAACAGCACCCTCATTTTCTTGTGCACCCTTTTATTATTGATATAATTAAATGATTAACAAAAAATGAAGCTTAATCAGGCAATTACCTCAAGAACTAATGGGTTTATGAGAAAACACCAGAGTACCTTCTTTCTAGAGTCCACAATTCCCAATAAAAAACGTTTTTCAATATTTCTCTCTACATCCAGTCATTGTGGAATAAAAGTCTCATGAAATTTTCCCCTGTACCCATTCATTATTGAGAACTGAATTATTAACAGAAGTTGAAACGACCAATGGCTGTTTAACTCCAATGAAACATATTTTTTAATCATGCAATTATCTTACTTTCTAATGATTTTCCCAGAAAACACCAGAAAATCTTTTTTGTAGAGCACGAAATTTAACAAAAACTTTCCCCTGACACTTCTTTCTAAATCTACTCACTAATAATTTTACTAAAACCTCAGGAAATTTTTGTTGTAGAGCACAAAATTAAAAAAAAAATTTTCCCCTGACACTTTGCTCTAAATCTACTCACTAATAATTTAATAAAACCCCAGGTAATTTTTGTTGTAGAGCACACAATTTAAAAAAAACGTTCCTCTGACATTTCTCTGTAAATCTACTCACTATGGGGTACGTCAACATTCAACAAGATGTGAAAAATCAAATTATTCTGTTCGACTCCATCACATGTCACACCTGCATTACTCAACCATAATCACCTCATTGAAGTCCTTGAATGTAAATTCCCTGTAGAGGACATCTCTATCTGACTGAAGGGTCCACCCAGTCTTCAATAAATCCATCAGCAGGGTTTTCCTCTCCTCAGGACTCAATTTCCCCTGTAAAATCACAAGGGAAAAAACCCTAAAAATGTGAGAATAAACAAATAGGATGGGCCCATATTTGGGCAGTGCAATATGGGTGTCTGAAGTAAAATAGACACTCAAAAAATTTCCGAAAAAAAAATTCTTTTTCAAAATGCAAATTTTTGATAATTGTTTCATTGGGAAATATGGACACCTGATAAATCCGTATAGGATGGACTAAAATGGACGCTCAAAATTTTTCTAAAAAATTTTCAATAATTGTTTTTTTTTAATTGCTCCTTGGAAAAGCTTTCAATCGAAAAATTATTCAAGAATGAGGTAAAATGGAGACACGAAAAAGTTTGTCCTATTCAACTTTTAATCAAGAAAATTTTCAACAGACATTTTTATAGAGAGAAATTAGAGTTGGAAAAGATATCAACAAATAAACTTCAATACTATTAAATTTTGCATTGAAGTTTGAAATATACAGTAACCTTGGATCTCCTGTTTTACTACCAAAATACCTTTGAAATCATTTATTTCTTTCCATTTGCGAAATTTTTAACATGGCTACTGTTCTACTTACAAAAAAAATCACCATAAAACAATGAGGAGAGGGGAGGATAAATGAGCAAAGAAAAATTTGCTGTACCACCCCCACATGAGTCAAAAATGATTTTTTTCAATTTGAAAATGGCAGTCATGACTAGTGTTCCAGAAATTGAATAACATTGTTGAAACATAAAAAATTGAGGAAGAAATGAAAGTGTCCATTTTATCCAGTCTTCGCTTTCCCTTAATTCCAACACCTTGACAATGTGTTTGTTTTTATAACCTTCAAATGAAGCCGAACCAGTAGATTTGATCCAACTCAACCCATTATTTAAATCCGGTGTCCACATCGCCCCACCCACCCCTAAAATCAATTTTTCAACATCTAATGACATAAATATAGTCAACAGGTGTTTCACATCTCGTCTGAAGCCCTGATGTCCCCCTCATCGGGCAGTAAACAGAATTACAACCTCAAAATGCCGATTAAAATGCTCGTAACTATTGTTCAAATAATCAGGACAATTAATGTAATTCAGGGAATGATCACTTACCATCTTTTTCTTGGTGACTGGTCCAGTTGTTGCGTATGACACTGAAGGAGAGTGGAATAACGATCGAATTCCCCCACTCGTCAGCAACCGCTTACTTACCACTGCCGCCATTTTTGTTTGTTGTCCTTCGATCGATAACCTATGGCTTTCACTTGATAATGAATGATTTTTCGGGGATTTAATCGCGTCAGTAATACTTTCTAAATGTATTCATGGGGGGAAAATGTTGTCGATTTTTATGTTTTTTTTTTCATTTCAGATAATTATGTAGGCGATGGATAATGGAGAGGAGAGCACACACGAAAAAATTTAATAGAAAAACCTACCGAGTTCGTTAGAAAATTCTATTGAATTTCTATTAAACTATCTATTAGTTTTTGGCTGATTCTATTGAGATGTTCAATAGACAAAGTCAACAGAATTCGATTTTTCTATATAACTTATTCTTTTCACATATTTCCTATAGAATTTGCTCGACTCAAATTTTCCAAGTTTATTTCACTCTATTTTTCTTTTCTTCTCATCAAGAAAATCGAACGAAAAAACTTGGAAAATTTGAGCCGAGGAAATTTTATAGAAAATATCTCAACAGAATAAGTTATATAGAAAAATTGAGTTCTATTGACTTTTTCTACTTAATATTTTCTATCGAAGATTTCAATAGAATCGAATAGTTCAATAGAAATTCAATAGAATTTCTAACCAATTCGATAGGTTTTTCTATTAAATTTTTTCGTCCGTGCTGAATTATTTCGTCATTTAATACCAATAAAAATTACCAATTAAATACCAATTAAGAATCGTTCAGAACTGTTGAATTGTGCCATGTGCACCCTTCGCATTCTCCGTATTCGTAATGTATCAATTCCTAGCTCATGAGTTTTATATCACTCAACGACAAAAATCAGCGCAAAACCATAAAACACCACGAAATATCACCAAGATAGTTAACACTTACCGAATAAATCCTCTTATCGAGGCCAGCCGGAATATATATAAGGCGGGCAATAGTCTATACGTCTTCAAAACGCATTCCACTTAGTCGAGTAGATTTAGGAATTTTGCAGGCGTTTAAATTGTTGAGTTGAAGTAATGGAGTTGGTGAAAATCGTCTTCTTCGTGGCGGCAGTTGCCCTCAGCTGTGCTTCTTCCGCATATGCAAAGCTTCCGCATACTATGTTACGTCACAAGTAATGGTATGGTCTTTGTGAATGATTTGGAAATTGATGTCAATTTTATCGTTCAAATAATAAAGGAGAAATGAGATTAACTGTTTATTTTGATAATTATGCAATTATCGTGGAAATTAAGGGGATTAGAGAAAAACAGCGAAGGATGTTTCTCTTAGGACAGAAAATAGATTCTTCAAATTGAAAATAATTTTTTTTCTTCGTCAATTGGGGGAATTTTTTGTAACGTCTGATTCCAGGAATTAATGTGAGAGCCTTGCGACGAAAATAGCTATTTCTGGCGAATATGAGTTTGCAGCCCGAGCCGAAGGCGAGGGTTATAATCATATGAGCTAGAAAAGTTCTTTTAGGCCGTGTGACGAACGATATTTTTTGTCATAACGTCTGTAGGCCTTTAAAAAGTTTTTTTCGGCCTTATAATGAAAATAGTTATTTTGAGAGTGTTTTAATTTCTCTGGGTATATAAAAAAGTTCTTTGAACAATTTTTCCGGTAATACACTTCTTAATAAGATGATTCCACGGACGAAAAAATTTAACAGAAAAACCTATCGAATTCGTTGGAAAATTCTATTGAATTTCTATTGAACTGTTCTATTAGTTTTTGGCCGATTCTGTTGAAATGTTCGATAGAAAATATTCACTATAAAAAGTCAATAGAATTCAATTTTTCTATATAACTTATTCTCTGTTGAGATATTTTCTATAGAATTTCCTCGGCTCAAATTTTCCAAGTTTTTTCGTTCGATTTTCTTGATGAGAAGAAAAGAAAAATAGAATGAATAAAACTTAGAAAATTTGAGTCGAGCAAATTCTATAGAAAATACATGAAAAGAATAAGTTATTATAGAAAAATCGAATTCTGTTGACTTTTTCTACTGAATGTTTTCTATTGAACATGTCAATGGAATCAGCCAAAAACTAATAGAAAGTTTAATAGAAATTCAATAGAATTTTCCAACAAATTCGATAGGTTTTTCTATTAAATTTTTTTGTACGTGTCAATAATTGTCAAGGAGAAAGATTCAGATGAAAATTCAGAACAAATTTTTGTTTGCATTGACTTTTGTAAGGAGCGGAAATTTGATTATTTCTTTTTTGTTTGCATGTGTTTTTGCAGATAACGAGTTCGTTCATTACACTATGGCTACAATTGTTCTATATTCTCCTAGATATATTCCTAATCGTCTTTCCGATGGCCTCAATTATTGTCAGTACTTTCAAATTCGGAATTACATTTGTCTACGTGTTTTATCTAATTACCTATAATTTTGGGGTACTTATTCTACTCAGACATGCATTATCGATTGCAAATTTTTCTCTGTAATTAAAATTATGATGAATAAAAGATTAATGAATAAGAAAAATTGATAGACAAAAATAAATTTTTTCAATAATTTTGATATATTTTTTTTGCATTCGAATAGATTTTTTATAGAATTTTTACATTCAAAGTTTAAGGTGATTCATTCCACGAGGAAAATTCGAGCAAACGATGGGTGAATAATATTCCCTGTCAGAAGAATATGGAAGGTAAATTACTTATGCAGAAGAAAAATGTGCATAAGCAACAGTATATCACTGAATTGCCAATGACATCAGTGTTATCCGCATTCCAGAGTTTTTCGAGTTATTTTGTGTAATCAACCATTGCAAAAAGCGGACATTCCTACTCTGATAAATAAATCAATTAATGGGTTAATGGGTTAATGGGTCAAGTGGGAAAATAGAATTTTCCAATCATTTCTTGAGTTGAATTGGGTTTTTTCTATAGCTCTATAAAACGTTCTGGGAATAAAACGAATAATACGTTCCACTACACGTATGCAAAAATTCAATAGAAAACCTCAGCGGGTTTGCTATAAAATTCAATTGGAATTCTCTAGAAATTCTATGGGGATTCTATTACAATTCTAGGAAATTCTCGTTAAAATTCTGTTTGTTTTTTGCGCAGATTCTATCAGATATTTGATTGGAAAAAGCCAAGAGATTTCGATTTTTCTATTTGAATTTTTCTCTTGAGATTTTTTCTATCAAAATTGTTGGATACGGATTTTCTACGTTTTTTCCGATATATTTTGCTTTGTTTTGAATTACAGAATCCGAGTGAAGAAAACTTGGAAAATTCATGCCCAAGAATTCTTATAGAAAAAATATAGAAAAAATAATAGGAGATTGTTATATTTGTGGCCGCTGTTGTAAATTGAAGCCATTTTTAGCTTCAACTTTAGTCTTTTTTCTGTGAAGATTTATAGAAATTTCCCGAAAAATTCGTGCACACATCCGGACATACCTACACACATCTTCAAAAAACATCTCATCTTCGCGTTTCATGACAATTAGAAGATCGTTAAAGTCAACGATTACAAAGCTTCCATTCGAAAGCAATAAAACGGGAATTTGAAACTATAGCTCGAGGGGCTATTCACAGGCGTAATCGTGGTGTCACTCGCTGATGTAATCAATTCTGATCCCAATGAAATCAATGTAATAATTGTAATCACATGATTACCATATTTGTAATCAAGTTTTGGTAATCAAGTGGTAATCATCTGTAAGCACTGTAATCATTTGTAATCAGTGTAATCTTTCGTAGTTGCTCCTAGTGAGACCGTGAATTTTGTTTTTGAATTTTCGAGCGCGTCATTTCTACCAACGGTAAGTCTCAAAATCCCTGGATCAATTTTTCTGGAAATCCCAGATGTTTATGGTTCAGAACCTTGCATAGCCAATGCGTTTTGCACAGAGCATTTGTCCGTAGAAAATTGATTCAACAGAGTTAAAATTTCTTCTTATTCTGGAGAACCAACGACTGAATTATCTCTGAATTATCTGCTGGTAAGTTTCATTCTCCATCAATGTAGATATTCAGTATTTATTTTGCTGATAGGACTTATAAATGCCCAAATTTTTAGATGGAGTGATGGAGACTGCATTCCTCTGTTGTAATCCCCGCCCCTCCTTCCTCATTTCTTTGCAGGTTCTAATAATTAATTATTCCATCAATTCATATTTAATAAGAGGCCATTCTTTGGGATTTCAATTATTACAGATGTTTGGTAATCACAGACGATAATCGACGATATCATTTGTAATCATGTAATCACATTCTGTGCTCTTGGTAATCACGGTTATCACATAGGCAATGGTAATCAGTGTAATCAGTCCCGTAATCCTGGATAATCGATTACATTTTGTAATCGCGGTATCACCCAATTCGCCTGTGAATAGCCCCTCACTATAGCTTTAAATAATCTATTCATGAAAAATAAATTATGTCACTCAACAACAAAATTTACGGCACTCAAGTGGAACCATAAAATCCCAAGAATTATCACCCCAACGGATCGCAAATAATAGATCCATCGTCATAAAATCGATTGGATTACTCGATTTTCCAGGAAAAAAAATTTATGACCATCTAAGGTGCAGACTTTTCCCCCGAAACCTCAAGCCTAGAATCTTTCTCCAACATATCGTTACGAAATCCAAAAAAAAAACAATATCTCCCCGGGAAAATCTTCAAATTCTGATTTTCTCTTTTTCCGGAATTTATTATTTATTCGTACCCCACTCCCGCCCCAAATATTTCCCGGAAATAGTGAATAACTAGAGCATAAAACACGAGGAAATATTGCCCTGATAGTATATAAGGCGGCTCATTATCTTTGCCCATTGGAAGACAAGTAAAACCGAATTGCATTAGCTACTTCGTTTTCACTGTGGAAACAACCACCGAACAGTATTGTTGGCTCACAAAATAGTGATGAATACGTCGAAGATATTTTTCATCGTGGCAGCTGTTGCTCTCATCGGTTGTACCTTCGCTGCACCCAGTGGTGATGATTTTTTCATCATTTTTCGATAAAAGTGAAAAAGTGAATTATTTCGGTTTTAAGTGGTTTTGCGAGAGAATGCCAAAAGAGATTTTTGGGATTATTCCACCCATCTGAATGTCTGTCGGTAGGGATGTAGTATTCGATGTTTCGCGGCGGAGGGGGGTAAAATTAAAAATTTCTAGAATTTTTCCCACCCAAATTTCAGTCAATAATATTGCACTAGGCGACTATTATTTTATATATTCAACACGGTATGCAACAGATAATTTTTTATAATTCGCCTGATAATTTTTAATGTTGATATATATATGAAAATCAATAGTATATTTCAGGACGAGTGCCATAGGGGTTTTCACTCGCGTGGAGTTGGCGTCCGAGCCGAAGGCGAGGACTGGCAAACCACGCGAGTAAAAAAACCCCAGGACACTAGCCGTAAACGGTATTTTCCCGTAGTGATTTTCACTTTTATGAGTTTGGAGAAGGGATACCAATCCCCGGGGGAGGAAAAGTGAAGATCAGTACGGAAACCGATTTTCTGGTTGGGTGAGCCCCTCAACAATTGCATGGCAAACTTGACTGGAAATTTTCCTGCTAAAATAAATGAAGTTCTGATATGACTATGGCTTTAATCTCCGCAAAAGTCGAATACTGCACTTGTCGGTTATTTTCATCGACATATTGAGAAAAAAACAAACGCTGAATCCAAACGCGGCATCCATCCGGAAGCCAAAGATTTCATTAATCATGGCCGCGAAAGCCTCAAAACTAAGTTCTCAAACAAGTCTTGTTTGGCCCAAAAATCGTTAGTTGAAAATAACGCAAGAAATAATTGTTTGGTTTGAATTTGAAGGTCCTAAACATGAATAATTCAGTAGTGAAGTGGTAAAACGGTACAAGTCAATTTTGACTATTGACCAGTTTTCAATGAATATCTCGGAATCTAGGGGAGATAGCGAAATTTTTATTATAACCTTTTTTGTAGAGTGGATTGAGAGCTACAACAAATATAGTTATGAAAAATTCGCTATCTCCCTTAGATTCGGAAATATTCATCAAAAACTCAACTGATAGATGAGTCGACTTGAACCGTTTCGCTACTGCAAGACTTAGAACTGCCTCAAACTTAATTGCATCATGATCATATATCATGATAGTTTTGGAAAGACTATTTGTTCGGCAAAAAATTTTTAATGGAATTTTTTATGACAAATTTTCTTTCAAAGTTTTGTTCTGAAGTCACTTATTACCGAAATAATTACGTAATTTCCAAAAGTATCCCTTCAACTGGCACTAAAATTGGTAATTGAATGGAATTTTCAAAAATCGCCTTTAATCATAGGAGAGAACACAGATTTGGATGTGACTGATCAAGGAAGGTGTCTAAAAATCTCTGGATACACACTATGTGTCGGTGATTTACCCCGGATTTTCGAAAAAGCCCAGGAATTCTTCGACGTGTGGATTTGCGGTGTATTCTCGTCGTTATACCCAGCTGTGTTATCCATATGTCCGAAATAGATATAATGGAACATGTAATCTGGTTTTCTGTCTGGAATAAAATCTACTGAGGACATGAAAACGATTTTTTCCACCTTCATCCGTGAAAATCATAAACATGAAAAAAAATCCCTCGAAAAATCGAAAGGACGAAATTTCAAGTTGATTTAGAATTCAGATGTTTCGAAATATTTCATATGCTTTTTTTGCGACTCCTGTTCCTCTGCACGGAGGGGGTCCCTTAGGACAATTTGCTTGTCTCCCTTTAATCGACAGATATTTATTAACAAATCCACCTGAAGATCGTGCCTGAAAAGTGCACTTTTCGAAACGGTTGAGTGTGCGTAAAGCTGTTGTTTTCCGCACAGCGTGGGTAAAGTCAACTTTACGCACGCTCTTGAAATTCCGCACTCGTGCACAAAAACGAATCTACCGAATTTCATCATGGTACAATTAATTATCCCTATTCAACGCAAGACAATTTAATCACAGGAACAACTCATCACACGGATAACTCATTACAGGGATAATTCATCACAAATGCATAAAGAAATAAAATCAATTGTTCATCTATTACCCTTCATTAAATTTATTACTTTAATTGCCATTTATTTATTGACTTATTAGCCAAAATCAGAAAAAAAAATACCATAAACTTTATACGACGATTATCTGACAGTCGATGCATCGCCCTAAATAAATATACTATTTCGTCATTAGGCCGAAAAAAACTTTTCTGGCGAATATGAGGTTTGCACGAGCCGAAGGCGAGGGCTGCAATAATATTCGTCAGAAAATTTTTTTTTTGCCGTATGACGAACAATATTTTTTGTCGTGACGGCCGTAGGCAGAGATTCACGGACGCGGAGCGAAGCGGACCGTCATTGACGGTCACATGACGAGGCGTTCATGACGGCTGTCACAATTCCCCCTCCCCCTTCTGTGACCGTCACAACTTGTCAAGAAAAAATGACAGTCATTTTTCATTTATATAGATGAAACTTTATTTTTTTCTCGGTCAATTTTCGGTTGAATTCCTTTTGTACTGGCCTAATCCGCATTTTGAAATGGAAATCACGTTTTTTTCCATCCATATAGATGAAACTATTTTGTTTTATTCATGAGCGTCACAAATTGGAAATTAGTTATGATCGTCATTATGCAACTATATACATGGTTTGACAACAATTTGGTTACAAATGATTTGTGACAGTCGTTTGTAGTTGGAAAATTTGTGCGTCACATGACCGTCATTTTTTGGTCATATGACGCGATATAAAAAATGACGGTCATTTTGCGTCTCTAATCACTAGTCGATCGAGGGTCGATTGCTTGTCGATGACTAATCGACATGAAGAGGTGATTATCACCTATCAGATGTTCTCAGGGGATGAATGCTTCCAGGCGTATCTTTATAAATACAAACATGAAAATTTCTCGGAATGTCCAGCATATGATGAATTAGTATATTACGCAACAAGTGCGTAATGGTGTTTTTTGACTCGTGGGATTATAAAACTCGCCTTCGGCTCATTTCACAACTTCGAAGGCGAGTTTTATAATCCCACGAGTCAAAAAACACCATTACGCACGAGTTTCGTATATTATTTTATGTCATAGGGCCCAGCATCCGCGATTCTACCGAGCGAAGCGAGTCAATGTTTTCTCAAGTTTTTTCAGTTCCATAAGATTTCGAGATATTTCTCCAAAATAATTCTCTCATCGAATCGACTCATCTTTCCTCACTCTACTAGTGAATCCCGATTTTCATTCTTTCAAAGGATGCAGTCGTCCATGAAATCATCAAAAACATCGACTGGAGTAAACATTTGTGGGGTCAGCGTGTGGGTTCCATCTTCCTATAAATAATTTCTTGATTGTAATCCTGTACTCATCTTTTAGAATTGAATAAAAAATGTTTTGATTGAACACATGTAATCGCTGAAAAATCTCGTCAACTTCCTGACCCTAAAGAAGGATAAAACAATTACATTTTTGTCATTCCGGCTGTTTATGGTCGCAATGCATCAACTCATTGTCGACTCTTCGAAATTTTTCATGTCTGCATATGATAGCTATTATGATTTATTGTTCTGATAACTTCTATGCAGAGTACCTGACCAGAAATGACTCATTCTTCCAACAATTAGAATAATGCGAAACAAACACAAATGGAGTAATAAAAATTCAAACACTGAAAATATCTTATCATTTATTTAGCCCGTTAAAACCGAAGAAGTATAAAATTCATTACTCTAGCTTTTATTTTACATGTTTTTCTTCTTTCCACGATGCACCAGGGTTGGGGCGGCTGGTAGTGGCACCTTTAGGAAGACTATCTTCTTATCAGTTTTGACTGAAACTGCACCAATTAATCTAGCCAGTTCGAGTAGCTTCTTCAGACCCAATCGGCCTGTTAGGAGAGTCGCGAACATCTCCAGATCTAGTTTGAAGTTGGATATCATGAGGGTCAGGATCAGGCAGTGAATGAGGGCCTTGTCGCGTACTGTCACTGGTCGTAATCTAAAGAAAATGGAATAACAAGATATTTTCGTCTTACCAATTTTCCAGTCATGAGTTTTTTTATACAAGCAACAACGCACTTATCAAAAAACATTTTTCTGGGTTAAGGAGAGACTACTATGAGTTTTGAAAGTCGTGGGTTATTGAGTGAGACTTTTCATACGTTGAAGATCGATTATATAGATCTGAAAACGAATAATTAGTGCAAAAAAATTGTTTTTATTGTTCGTTCACCTGAAAATGCTTAAAATGCTAAAAACAGTCCAGGGCCGCTAATTTTTAAGCTACAAAAGATTTTTTTTTTTCAAAATTTTCGGAAAAATGTGGGGAACAATAATTACCAGCCAGTTTTTTGGAATTCGACTCTTACACACCTGATTTCGATTTTTTTCATATTAAAAAATTCACTATTTGGGTAAAAAAAATAAAAAAAGCAAATTTAGCCATTTAAGAGGCGACTTAAAAAAAAACTAGCTCGCAATTGTTATTCCACATATTTTTCCGAAAATTTTGAAAAAAAAATCCTTCGTAGCTCAAAAATTGGGGGCCTTGGACTGTTTTTGGCATTTTAAGCATTTTCGGGCAAACGAAGAATAAAAAAAATTTTTTTGCACTAATTATTCGTTTTCAGATCTATATAATCAATCTTACAAAATTGTAATATATCAATGACTTCAGAAACCCCTCAAAAAATAGCAATTCTGATTTTGTTCTTCAAATTTCTGAAATATTTTCCAAAGGTCCAAAATGAAGAAGTAAATTTACATTTTCAAATTGCAAATGATAAAATGATTAAGCTGACAAATGATAAAGCTCTGATGGTCAACTACAAATATTTAAAAGTATTTCAAGGATAAAAAAAAATTATCGAAGTACTTGAATTGAAAATGAAAATTTCCCAATTTTTTTTACACCTTTTTTTTTAATTGAAAGATGATATTTTCATTATCTGGGTAATCATCTTGGTGATGAATGGCAAAAAATGGAAAATACGCAGATAATTCCATAATTAACCGGCTCTGATGCCCCAAAATTGAAATTTTCATGCATTCTCAATAAATTTTGATATTTTTTTTCATCCTTTTTACCTTCCTGAAGTGCTATTCACACTGTAAGTCTCGAGTATATACTGAGAAACTTCTGGAGACACAGGACAAATGTCCTTACTCTTCTTCTTGGCATCTTTCATTGGCATATTCAACCAAGTAGCGACTGAGTAAATGAACTCCAATATTGCGATTTTCTTCTCAGTCTGGGGACATTCCTTGACAGCTCTCAACGTTCGTGAATAAAATTCTGAGGTTCTGGAATGAAATGAATACACATCAGTGACCTGAGATGTAAAATTTTTGTCGCAAAAATCGATTTCTTTTTTCCAAAGAATTATTATTCTGTCGAAGAGGGACTCTCCTTCCTAGCAGTGCCTATTCGTTATTCTGTACTACCATACGTATTTTACTCTCGAAAAATAATCACAGACACTAAATGAACCCTCAAATGAAACAATAATAATGATATGATAGCAATCTCGTAACTTGGGAATAAAATATTTGTTGATAAATTTTCCTTTATATATTTTCATCCTGAAAAGGCACCGTCTGATGTGAATGGTCCGCCTCTCGAGCCAAATATTTCGTTGCTGTCGAAAGCAGAACAATTATTCATGCTTGAGACTTTCAAATTCGAACCAAACAAATCCTTTTTTTGTCTGCTTGAGAATATGGTTTTTTCCAGTGTAAAATGTTGAATGTAGTACCTCTCGAGGGCTTGAATGTATTCAACTTGAGAGTGCAGTGCCTTCAGGAGATCCTTGGGGATGATGTCATGAAGATTATAAACCTCTTCCACGAGTGCTGCATCTCTGTTGCATGGAGGTAAGTGTGCGGATTGGTCATCAATTTTACTCGTGAGGTCGTCTCTGTCAATTTCCACGTCTGAAATGAATGAACAGAAATTATTACATTATCTGTCAGGTTATTAACTATCTTTCGAACGTTATCTCGGTGTTTTTTTTCATCTTTCGTCATCTGAAATTGTCAATTGAGTCCTGCATCATGCACAAGTTTTAATAATTATAAATGAATAATCAAAAAAAAGGAGACATTTATTACAGAAAAAACTCTTTGAAAAAAATTGTAATACTTTGTAGAATTTTGCAGGGGTTCCGTTTCCCCTTAAGGAGATATCGGCAAAAAACTATTTTTGAGGAATCACGATTCGCTATTTCGCTAATCGAAAATTAGGAAATCGAAAGAAATGATGATTATAAAGCTTCCATTCGGCAGCAAAAAATGTCATAAAACTTGTTTGTAGAGAAGCAGTGAATTCTCTACAAAGAAAATATGATGAGGTTTTCCCTCCACTCCTGAAATAAAAATCCACGTACTGGAAACAGTCTCTTCCAGCTGCTGCTGGACAGCATCCACATTGACCTTCATTTTCTCGTACTGCTCAGTCCTTCGTTTGACCTTCTTGGACCCGAACGTTCTGTTGAGCATCATGAGTCTGTTGCCATCGATCTCGTCCTTCCTCTCGGGCTCTCGGTCCAGCACAGGAGCGACCTGCCACCGCTCCGCCTGGATTAGTCGAACTTTGCCAGTCTTTCTGTTGTGGACCGCCAGCATCGTGTAGGTCAGCTCTTTCGCAGGATCTGGACGGTAGCCTCGGTATACCACTTGACCGTTGGACATTGCCACAAGGGTTTTCTTCTTCTTCTCGTCGTAAAACACTCCTGACTTCATTTTCCGCGCTTCTGTGTCTTTTAATTGTCCATTTTGGAAGTTAACTGTGGAACACAAGTGGACAATTGCAGTTTTTTATAAATTGAGGAGGGGAGGTTGGGGGGAAACGGACACTTTTGACTTTTTTTTAATGTCAATTAAAAAAAGTTACTTAAGGCTCGGGTGTACTATCTTTAGAATGTTATCTGGATTTTTTTATCTTTCGTAATCCAAAATTGTCAATTGAGTGGTACATCATGTAGAAATTCCCAAAAATTATGATAGAATGATAAGAAAAATAGAAAAAATTCTGAACTTTTTCAAAGAGCGTTTTTAATTGAGATTCAGAATGAGTTGAAAAAAGTGGAAATTACAAATATCTGATTCGCTGTGGCAAATTATCTATTAGCTGTCATTTTCCATGGTGGATAACAAAACACTAACTCCTCATGGGAAGTGACAGCTAGGTATCTCAATTTTCAAAACAGTGGTATGTAGTCATCTGCCATTTTTATGTGATAAAAGTGTGATTAAAAAATTCTCCAAAATATCACAACTTTTTTCAAAGAGCCTTTTCCGTAATAAATGTCTCTGTGCAGTGTGGGAAAATATTTACGAAATCAGTCTTCCCCCTGCATGATATTGGGTGACAGGTCGCCATTTGTCACCGTAAATCAGATACATTTTTCAATTTCTTGTTATTCAACTTATTCTGAATATAAATTAAAAATGCTCTTTGAAAAAATTGAGAATTTTTTCTACTTTTTTTTTATTCATTCATAATTTTTCAAAATTTTTGCATGATGCAGGACTTAATTGACAATTTCAGATGACGAAAGATGAAAAAAAAAATATCGAAATAACCTTCGAAAGATAGTACACCCGGGCCTTAAAAAAAAAAGAAATGAAAAATTTTAGGTATAGGGGAGGGTGGGGTAAAATGGACACTTCTGACTTTTTTTAAAATGTTCATCACGTGTTGAATTGTTCATGAAATCGAATAATTTTATTTTTCAATAGAAAGAACAATGATTCCTCTTTGTGATGAGCTTAGACTGAGCTCAATTAATAAATCTGTTTCTGAGTTATGAATATTTTTAAAAAAGTCAAAAGTGTCCATTTCACCCCAACCCCCCCTAATTATCGAAAATTGTTTGTCGATCTGTATTCTCACGTGATTTACGAGGAACTCCTCATCATTCAATGTTGTAACTTGTGAATTAAGAAACGAAAGACCATACAACAACAATAAGAATTGATAAAATTAAATTAATCTAGTTGTGAAGACGGAAATGGAAAGAAAATAAAATAACATCGTATGAAATAATCTAGCGAAAACAATTTTAAAAAAAAATCACAATGGATTATGACAGTTAACTTGGGTGAAGAAACATTTGATCTTAGCAAATCTCTTGGAAATGAATGAAACTTAGACAATAATGTTGGAAAACCATTCTTGTTAAAAAAATAAACTTCCTACTAAAAAGGTCTCTTGAGATTTTTTTCCAGAAATGCTCATTAGATCAGATAACTCAACAATTGATGAATGGAAAATCTGAAAGGGAAGTTGAAGAGGTTAACTCTGCATGTGATGGCTAGCTCACCAATTATCGGTTGAATTTTCCGAGGCTCAATCACCACCTCCTCAATTTCTGCTTCCACTTTCATTCTTAATAATTATTTATCACCAAAATTAATTAGACAAAGACAACTTAGAGCTGCGTCCAGCTACACGTGTGTGCCGAGTGTTTATATCTCTACGAGAAAAAAAAATGACGAAAATGCGCATGCGCAGTCAACCGTAATTTGCCGGGAAATTCTAATAATTCAAATGATAATGTCAGTTAGATGTTGAATTAGCAGTGAAATCGAACGGCGATTCCAATGTTTTTGAACTTTTGGTTCCGAATGGAAGGATTTAACTCATTCTTTTTTAGATTTGCTGATTTTGCGTGGAAATTATGTAGAATGGTCTGAGAGGAAAAAACAAGCAGGGGCTGGAGCCTTTTTGGTAGAAGTCATCTGATTGTTTCTTCATGTGTTATAACTCTTTTTCTTTTTCTCATCTCCCTGGGAGTCCATTCTCGAGATCTCATGCGACGCATAAGGCGTACCATAAGTCGCATACGATTTGTCGAATTCGATCGTGCGATTTCAATTCGAGAATAGGCTCCCTGTACTCAAAACAACTAAAATCGAAAACATCTACAAGGCCATCGACAATGTTTACATCACTCAAGGGCTATAGACGAGCAGATATCGAAACCGAAAGAAGAAAAGGAAATAGAAACATGATTTGAATATTGAATAAACGCAAGTCCGCCTGCTACACCCTCTTTTGGGTATAAACACTCCAAAAAATTGGAGATTTGAAGCTGGAGGATATATTCATTTGGAATTGAAGAAGAAGAAGACCAGCATTGTTGGCTAAAAAACAAAATAAAAACACTCATCTCTGAAGGAATTTTCAGCATGTAAATAACGAAAAAACCTTCCCATCTTGATATTAATTAATATTCTTTAATTAAAAATAGACATATTAATCCTTAACGCTAAAAACTCTACATAAATACTCATTTATCACTTTGATTACACAGGAAGTACACGCATCGTCATTTATAAAATCTTATAAAAATTCTTACAACTTCTCAACAATTCGAACAATGTAATCAGTGTCTCGCAAGCATGAGGTACACTGGGATAAGTAGCAAGTATGTACAAGTGTGCAACGGCGAGGATCCGTTGGGGTCCTTTGATTTCTGAGTGCCTGGGACACTGGGATTTGTCGTGCACAAGTCTCCACAGTCCTCACCCTCACATATGTCGCAGAGGGTGGATACTCGAGGCTCGTAGAACACTCGTGCTCTCCTTGCTGAAGAAAAAAGAAAAGAAACAAGACAAAATACAATTAATGAAGGCAATTAGTGAATACTGCCCCCCCCCCTCTGATAAAATTTTTTCTGTCTAAAAGAAATATTGGGTAATGTGATACAATACAAGACTTGACTTCTTGTGATAAAAATTTGGTACTCGAAATTAAAACTCTGAAATTAAGGGTCACAAGGGTCATGAAGGTCAGAATAAGGGTCACGAGGGTTAGATTAAGGATCAGAGGGGTCAGATTAAGGGTTCAAATAGAGTTCGCAAGGGTCAGATTAAGGGCCGTCAGATTAAGGGCCGAAAGGGTCTGATTAAGAGCCCAAATAAGGATAATAAGGGTCTGAATAAGTGTCGCGAGATCCAGATTAAGGGTCAGAGGAAGGGTCCAAATAAGGGACATAAGGGTCAAAAACCAAAGGTCAGAAATTAAGGGTCACCAAAGTCAAAATAAGAGTCACGGGGGTAATAATGAGGATCAGATTAAGGATTCAAACGAGGGTCACAAGAGTTAGATTAAGGATTACAAAGTCACATTAAGGGTTCAAATAAGGGTCATGGGTGAAAATGAGGGTCTCAATATCTTAGTATGTTGTGAAAATCCAAATCGACTTTTGGTGATGAAAATTTGGGGCTCGAACTTAAGACTCCCAAATTAAGGGTCAAAATAATGGTCACGAAGAGTATGATAATGATGGGAATGAGGGTCACGAGGTTCAGATTAAGGGTCAGAATAAGGATCAGATCAAGGATCATTGGCGAGCAAGGTGTTTTGGTGTTGTGATGAATAGAGTCTCCGGGACAGGTGTCTAACGACGAGGACGAACCCAGTCCTTCCAGTCCAGAGATTCACATAACCCACCCATAAAAATCTCTATACTTACATGAATCATAATAATCATAAATCGACACAGGCACGGGTTTCTGCTTCGCCACCTTGTGCGTCCTGAACGCCGACACAGTGGGACAGTACTCCTTCCTCACCATTTTATCAAAGTACAGAACAACCATAGTATCTCCATTCCTGGTCTCCACCCTCTTGACATTCTGTGAGACCTCCAGACTCGGTAACGAGTCCCTATCCACAGTGAATCCAGATGGCAAGCTGACCTCCATCACCGCCATGTTGCTCTCATTGCTCTCCTTCGTGGGAACGAACCCGGAGCAGATGGACAGCTGTAGATGATTCTCATTCGAGTTCTTATCGACCTGAGGATCCAACGTAAAGAGGGGCCAGGCCCCCGTGACGTTCAGGTTGAACTGCGTCGAGACCTGGATTATTGCAAAGCCATTCCCAGATGCTGTGATGTTGACGACCCTAGTCTTCTTCGGGAGCACGTGCTTCTGCAGGATCATGGCGTTGGCGCCGTTGATGTTCATGGTGCTCCTGCCACCTCCCTCGTAATTGATAGTGATGGCGATGTTGTTGTTTTTCGTTAGGAGTCTTTCCCCGAGCTTGGAGAGAGCGTAGATGCCCACGACGGTGTCTTGAGTGGAGGAGAAACCGCCTTCTGGGTTCCGTTGTTTCACCAGCCACTTCATGACAGGAATTGCGTCACTCACGAGGTTTCGTTGGAGGTAGGTCATCAAGGTATAAGAAGTCATCTCCACGTCAACAGACCTGAGAAGAACGAACTTTTAGTAGTTGTTCTTCTTTTGTTTGAAAGAATTAATAGTTGTTCTTATTTTGTTGCGGCCCTCAATAGTTACTCTTGTTCCAGCGAATTAATAGTTTTCCTCGTGTCGTTCGAACCCCTGGGGAATTTTTTTGTACAAGCGCTTCTGAACCCTCACATGAGCCCTGGAGAGGGATGACGATCACATGAATGGTGGGATTTTTTATTCATGCGATTGTCATCTCTCTCCCAAAAGCGTCTTCAAACGGGAGAACAATGATAATTTTTAGTTCGACCTAAACGCGCAAAATCTGTACCCTAATAACGCTCTTCTTGATTGAACCGGAAGATTTTTTGTCGGCCATGGTGAAGTATCAGCGCCAGCTCGCGCCCATTCAACATCGCGAACGATTTACTGCGGGGAATCCCATAGATATGGAATTCTGTACCCGCCAACTTTTCTAACTGTACCATCTGCCTGATCGATAACTTGACTAATGTAATGCAACTACGATCTTAAAAGCATGCACTAAAAGATGTAAGAAACAATTGGATAAGCAAAAAATATTGTCCAATACACGGCCGTAAAGAACTTTTCTACCCCATATGATCAGTGTCTGATCAAGACCTGACTAAAATTTCCACTCGGGAATGCTTCCATTCGAAAGCAAAAAAACTGGGCTCACCTAGGAAGAGCATCAAACCAAGGATTCTTATCATCCTTATCCACAGTCTTGTTCCACCACTTCATGTCATCCTTCGTAGTAGCCTTGAACTCCAGATTCCCAAAGGCCACATCCTCGTAAGGGTGCTTAGCCAGGTTCAGCACATAAACACAAATGCTCAAAGCATACAGATCATCAAGTCCCTCCATGTTCCTGACAATGTAATCCACCCCCTTGTTAATCGTGTTCCTGTACTTCTGCTGGGCCTCGGGGTTCTCCAAGAAGGCTGTCAAGGTATAAGCGGTGAGTGCGAGGCCCTTGGCGGCGCCACCCTGCATGTCCTTGTGGGAGACCCTCCCGACCTCCGGGAAGGACCCATTGGGGGTCTGAACGTTCGACAGCCAGAGGAGGGCCTCGTTGATGATCCTGTCTTCAACTATGATGTACTCTGACGCTTGTTTGAAGGACTTGGCAACGAAAGCTGTCAGCCAGGTGCTTCCGGACTCGTCGGACTCCCCGAAGGCACTGAAGGAGCCGTCCTTGTGACGATAAGTCAGCTCCTGCTGGTACCCAACCTCTAGATAACGAAGGGCTTTACCCTGGACCGCTTGTGTCAGCTGATTCGTGTTCTTCAGGTAGTTCAGGATCACGATGTTGGGGACTAGATTCAACATGTTCTGCTCGCCACATCCGAAGGGAAGCTTGATGAGGGACTCCAGGTTCGGAATACTGGGCCCTAAAATGTCCCCAACTGCCGAGATCTCGATGTGCTCAGAACCTGGGACGATGTTTTTTGGGATATCCACGGTGATGTTTGTGGAGAGGGAGGAGACTGTGCGGAGGTCTAGGAAAACTGCACGGTTGCGGTATTGGGTCTCGCCTTCGGCCTGGAAGTAGTTTATGGGTTGATTGGGTTTCATTTGGGTTTCATTCCTGATCGTCACTTCACGAATGAAATGGAATGAAATGAGCAAATGAATAAAGTGAAATGAAAACTGCAGACTGTCGTCACAAACTTTTTGATACGTTCGTTAAATAAAAAAGGAGAAGAAGAGGATTGAAGATACCTTGACGAGGAGTTTATGTTCAACACTGTCTCCAGCGATTTTACTAGTAGCTGTGGCTTTCAACGGAATGTAACCCAGCTCCCTCGGGATCACCATGAATGAGACACCCGCACCGGAATTGGCCTTGACATCCACTCGTTTCGTTCGATAGAGCTCCAACTCTAAAGTGGGAAAATATCGATGGTTTTGTCGATTAATGGTTTTATGTTCTTCAGGACAGGGTTTAAGGCCCGGTTCCATTATCTGCCAAAAGTGCTTCATTGCTTTTTTCGCTTGATTTTTATCTCGAAAGTTCAACTCGATGGCCAGTCACTCGAAGACCCTCGAAATGGGTCATAAGGGTCACGAGGGTCAGAATAGGGATCACAAGGGTCAGTTTAAGGGTCATGAGGGTCAGAATGAGAGTCACGACGATCAAATTAAGGGTCACAATAGGGGTCACGAAAATCAAATTAAGGATCAGAATAAGGGTCACGAGGATCAGAGAAAGGGTCACAACGGTCAGTTTAAGGATCATGAGGGTCAAAATAAGGATTACGAGGATCAAATTGAGGGTCATGAGGGTCAGAATAAGATACACCAATATCAAATTAAGGGTCAGAATAGGGGTCATGAATATCAGAATAAGGGTCACGAGGATCACAGACAGGGTCACAACTGTCAGTTTAAGGGTCATGAGGGTCAAAATAAGAGTTACGAGGATCAAACTAAGGGTCACAAGGGTCAGAATAATGGTCGAAATGAGGGTCACAAGAGTCAGATTAAGGGTCCAAACGTGGGTTTCTGAGTGACGGACCATCGAGTTGAAATTTCGATACAAAAATCCAACAAAAAATCAATTTAGATAACGTTCGGCAGATAATGGAGCCGGGCCTTACACAAAAAATGATGATCAGCAATTCGTACTTGGACCATTATCATGGACTTCATTGGAAACCTCAGCAAACTCAAACTGTCCGGAGTGTTCGATGGTAACATCAGCGGTAATATCTCGGTCCATGTAATTGAAAACCACTATTGGAATTGCTACAATTTCACCTCTCATTACGGAGTACGGCAGGTCCACAGAGACGAAGAATGGTTTGAAAACTTTGAGCTGTGAATTTTCCAAAGTAAATACCCATTATACACAATCAAAGTTGCTCTACCCGTCGGCCGGGCTACGCCGTACTTTTGGATATTTTCAGTTTTTAAATTTTTCAACTAAATTGCATGGAAAAAATTTGAAAAAAAATCATACCCAGTCAGAATTATCTAAATTAAATTTCGCAAAACATTGATATTTTTTCAAACATTTCCCTCTTATAAATAAATAATAAAACTTGTTTGCAAAACGGTGGATTATTTTTTATGAGGTGTCAAAAAAATTCTTGATTTTTTCACGTCTAATAAAAAAAAATCAGATTTTAATCTTTGATCACAATGGAAATGTTGATTTTCACATAAGACACTGGGTTAAATCCTGATTTTGAAACAGTTCTTCTTTCAAAAACCAAAACGATAATTAAATTGAATTTACCATAAGGGTAGAGCTACTTTAATTCCTAGGACTACGAAATTCGATGAGGAATCGATGATTTCTCAATTTTTATTGACTGATTTACCACATTACCTTTCTTGGAGCTTCAATGAGTCCAAGTCCATAAGTGGAATCGACAGAAAACGCAGTGATAACCCATGAAGTAATGGAATCAGGTACAGTTTTCCGCAAAACAGTCTCTCCTTTCAGCCTAAATAAGTTCATAACTCAAATTATGCCCAAAATTGAAGAAAAATCGAATGGAAAAAGAAATAAAATAGTGACAGAGGAGACATCTGCACGAGTGGAAGATTTCACAAATGATAAGAACAAGGAGAACGGATAGAAATGATAGCAGATAAATACCCTGAGGAGAAATTGGTGAAAAGCCAAGTGTTGGAGATGTCATGCATAAGGAAAACACGGGGCCTATTCCATACAGGGGTTGGGATACGTGAGAATGCGTAGGGACCAGCCAGTGGTGGTCTTGTGACGAGTCTGTGGATGACTGGGGGACCAATGTCAGGACGTAGGGTTGACTCCCCATAGCCAGAGCCTCGTACTCTACCCTCCAGATATCCTGGACGCCCTGCAATCCAATTATCTACTAATTTCCTTACCTTTATTTAACGGTGAAGTGGTAGAATTGAACGAGTGCAATGTCAAGGCTTCATTAATAATTCTAGATGAATTCATCCCAGACAAAATTAATTTTTCAGTATAGATAGTCAAATATTTCCTGTGAAATCACGACTTGAGTTCTACCGTATTGCCAATTCAAATCGAAAACAAATTCCCGCTAATTCTATCCAATCGTTCTGATTGGTTACACGATGCCACGTGTCCAACTGGGTTAGGTCTCATGGGGTTCCCCTGAGATTGTACAAAGATGTGTTGGTTTGATACCATTTCGTTTCGAGATGAAATGGTCTCAGGATGAATGCACCACATACTGACTCAAGCTGTTCTACCACTTCTCTCTCTTCATAAATCATGTCAGAAATAATTACCCCACCCCCAACATTAATGATAAGTTGTCAAATTACCGAAGCATCCCTCACCTTGATTAATAAATTAGTTTTAAATTATGAATTTCATGAAAACGTTAGGAGTGATGATATTAATAGAAAAGCAGAAAACGCAAATTCTCTGAAGTAAATCGGTTTTTTTCTCACTAATGATCATTAATAAATTAAACTGAAGTTACGGCATTACCCGGTCTCAATGGTTTGCCAAAGCCACGTTTCAGGGAAATTCTTGCGCACTTTGGGCTTGTTGGCGGGAGGGATTGCGCCAGCTGAATCAAATACGGCTCCCATGGGGAACGCGGCTGCTTCGGGGAATCCCAAGCCTGATCTGTAGAATACTACGGAAATAGAAAGAGAGTCGAGGTGAGTTACCTATTGTTAAAATGTAAATAATTTTTTTCAATTTCTCTTGTGGGTTTTTATGCTCTACTAACTCACACGATTTACTGCCGCATTATTTTTTTAGACAATGGATATGTAATGTTTTTGAATATTTTTCTGGTTCAATTATGCTGATGATTGTATTTTGCATGATGTGTGGTTAGTGATCTATTTAGATGCGACTAATGCGTTATTTGGATTACGATAAGTGCGTTTGGATACTTACGCATTGGGAAATTCTCGGGTACGTGAGCATTTGTTAAAATAACCGTTCCTGTTTTCTGCGGGATAAAGACGATAATTATTAGATCAAGTTGTATTAAAGTTGTATTGAACCGAAAAATCGGTTTCAATCAAGTCGGACTGATTTATGCCGGAAATCGACTTATTTCATGTTAGATCATCGACATGAATCAACTATGACTCGGAAAGATGCAAACCGGCATATCAATCTGATTCAAGTCGTCTTTTCGACTTGAATTAGATCGATTACGGTTTGATTCAAGTCAAGCTTTGGCTTGATTCAACTTGATTCAAGTCAATTTATCGGTTTGATTTGAGTAGTTTTTTCGGTTTGACTCAAGTCGATTTTTCCGCTTGATTCAAGTCGAATTTCGGTCTGATTCAAGTCGACTTCGGTTTAATTCAAGTAGATTTTTCGGTTCCACCCAAATAGATTTTTTGGCTACTTGGATCACACTGAAAATCGACTTGACTAATGCCGAAAAATCTACTTGAATCAAGCTGAAAAATCGATTTGAATCAAATCGAAGAATCGACTTGAATCAGTACGTTCTTTTTGAGTCTAACATCGTCAATTAATCATTCACCTATAGAAAACTTACATCAAAGACATCCTGCGCAGTAGCACTTCCCGGCCTCCAGAACATCCTCCACCCCTCACCATCATAAGGGCTCTCCTCACTCATGTCATACCCCCGCAGCTCCCTCATGACATCCTCCCTACTGATATCATTCCCACTCTTCAACAGAAGTGATCTCTGATCCACCCCCAAAACTCCAACAAACGAGTTCGGTCTGCTCGTGATATTCAAGTCAACAGTCTGTCCGGGTCCAGTCTCGCCGGGTTTCACACTCACCTCGACAAAGTTCTGGAGGGTTCCCTCCAGCTCAACGTCAAGGGCATCAGCCACAACCTCTCCATTCTCTTTCGTGTAATAAACCAAGACATGAGCGGTTGGTGCCATCACATAAGTCGCCAAGAACCTGAAGGTTCCGACCTTGCCATCCACAGAGACAGAGCCAGCATAGAGGATATCCCCCCTCCCAAGGACCTCATAATGGAGATACTTGAGCACTTCAGTGGAATTAACCTCGACCTCCACCTCGTGGTTGACCCTAGGGCTCTCGGTTCTGACGACCGCTTGGATGTAGCTTCCAGAAGGCGACATGGCTTGATTGGTAGCTGGGAACCACTCGTGGAGGTTCAGGTACTCAGCCTCAATGTTGAGAGGTGAAGCCACATCATCAGGGTCCGTCTTCACCGGGGGATAGAAGTCCAGCTGGATCATGCCGTTGTCATCCAGCATCCTCGTGATGTTGGTGTAGGCGGATTGATTGAAGGTGTAGCCATACGAGATGACGACGGCATTCGTTCTGTCTCTGACTGGTGACCCATCATGATGAGCGATCTTGATGAAGGCTGTGTACTTCAGACCTGGCTTGTAGTACTCAGAAGTCTTTATCAACTCCATCGTGTACTTGTGCTTGTGGAGGGTCATCTGGGTTGAGACGTTCTGCCTTCTTCCTGTCAGGGCCTCTTCGACTGTCGCTTCAATCTCAATCGGACGCTCGTATTCATCCGATAATTTGAGTTCAGATGCTATATCGAAGTCCACGGTGACCTTGCCATCGATGGGCAAGACCTTGCGGACTGGGGGTGTGAAGATCGGTTGGAGGACACCCGAGAAAAAGTCCGGGTAGGCGGTGATGGTCGCCTCCCCCTTGACAGGCTTTCCGTAGGTGTAGTCTGCACGGATAGTCGCGATGACCTTGCCAGATTTGAATGTCGAGTGTTTCGGCACGTCGATGGACACCTGGAATTTGGGGAGGACGTACTCGGCGACCTGGAAGGGCTTTTCGAAGGTCTGATCGACGACGTTAGTGATGATCTTCCAGTCCCCGAGGACCGGGGAGGAGGAGAGCTCGAGCTCTCCGGTGAAGATGCCACGGGTGAGGGAGGGACGAGTCCATTGCTTTATGCGGTTCCCACTGCCGTCCTGGGGGGGGGTCATTATATTTGTGAGGGATTGTTTTTGATTGTTTTGAATGGGTCAGATTAAGGGTCACGAGAGTATAATGAGGGTCACAAGAGTCAGAATAAGGGGCGTAGACCCCCAGTCCCTTCATGACATTGATATATCTGCACTGATATTTCTGTCGATATATTTGATAACTGATGATTCATATCGCCAAATCAATTTTCCAAGCAATATATCAACATCCTGATATATCGATATTTAAAGTGGAATATATTCATGATCGATATCGACGTATCGATCCTCGATGTCAATATATGGATCAGCGATATTTTAGATCGCTCTTCAATATATCGATATTTAATATGTTATTAATGTTGGAGGTATTATTGAGATTCACTTACCGTAATGTACACATCAAGCTGTCTCGTGAGTGCCGGTCGCAATCTCGAATCCAAAACTATACAACGGAAGAGGACTTTACTTCCAGGCTTGTAGACAGCTCGATCCGTTTGAATGAACACAGAGTAGCTCTTGTGCATGTACTGAACATCCGTCGTATTACTAAAAAGAAGTCCGTTCACTCCTTTCGCGGTCAAGTGGTATCTTCCCGGTGTCGTATCTCCAATCTTGAGAAAAGAAATCTAAATTATTCGAATCCTTCCGTCATGTTGAGAAATCGAGGAGGAAATCCATGATTTTTTTTTCAGTGAAAAAAATCAATTGCGAAAATTGGAAAAACTATTATTTTTTGCTTCCGAATGGAAACTTTGTAATCGTTCAAATTTAAGTTTTGGATTTTTTGTGATATATCGATGTGTGCACGGACGAAAAAATTCAATAGAAAAACCTATCGAATTCGTTGGAAAATTTTAGTGGATTTCTATTGAACTGTTCTATTAGTTTTTGGCCGATTCTATTGAAATGTTCAATAGAAAATATTCAGTAGAAAAAGTCAATCGAATTCAATTTTTCTATATAACTTATTCTATTGAGATATTTTCTATAGAATTTCCTCGGCTTAAATTTTCTAATTTTTTTTTTTATTTTTTTGATGAGAAGAAAAGAAAAATAGAATGAAAAAAACTTGGAAAATTTGAGTCGAGCAAATTCTATAGAAAATATATGAAAAGAATAAGTTACATAAAAAAATCGAATTCTGTTGACTTATTCTATTGAATGTTCTCTATTGAACATGTTACTATTAACATTTTATCGAAGGGCTGAGGGGAGAGATTGAGCCGTAAAAAAGACAGTCGTTTGCATAGAAGAAAGGGATAATAAGAGTAATGATGATGATAACATTCAACCAAGTTGCAAATCTGACAAAATTAGTTGAAAAGAAATCTCATTCAATCTAATAAACTGAAGTAAACAATAAATTATACATGATAGAAGGAAATGGTGTGCAAAAATTACTATACTGAGCATTTCGTTGTGGTCTTACATCCAATTTGAAAACTCTCGTTTGGTATGGCTCGACGACGTCCTCATGGAAGACCCTGAAGACCTCTCCATTATCAAGCTCTCCATCAAGCTCAACGACAATGGTCGATGGTGCTGATACACCGGTGGTAGAAACGACTACGTGGTACTCAGAATTGGGACGCACCACTTTTGGAGCAACGACCGTGTAGTACCTGTTGTTGGAGAAAAAGACACATATAATTGACTGCATGGCCATTATTTACGCTGGAAATGTAACAATACTGGAGCTAAGGTATTTGTACGTACGGTTCCGCTGTCACTGTCGCTAATACGGTGAGGAACACGGGAAATAATGTCCTCATCTTGACTTGGCGAATCTGGAAGAGGAAATGACGCTTTTTTTACTTCCGACGCCTCGATTCGGTCCGCTCAGCATCTCGTTGAAATTAGCCGGCGAAGTATGTTTTTTTTATTCATCTATGTTGTTTTTTTTTTAAGATGAAATATTTTTCTCCGTGCAATATTTCGTGTCTTTACAATTTCGGAGGGTAAACAGTAATTAGCGAGGGTTCCCGATGACCTCCTCTCTTTTTGTCGTAAGAACATTGTATCTTTTCACAATTCTACTGACAAATTGAATTCAGTAGCGAAGTGGTAAAGCGGTTTAAGTCGATTTTGACTATTGGCCAGTTTTTAGTGAATACCTCGGAATCTAAGGGAGATAGCTAAATTTCTTTCAGAACCTTTTTTGTAGCACTCAATCTGCTCTAGAAAAAAGGTTATTACGAAAATTTCATTATCTCCTTTAGATTCGGAGATATTCTCCAAAAACTCAACAAGAGATAAGTCGACTTAATTATTTGAAACGTGTAGACATTTTGAGGCTGTAGGAGCTGTTGTGACGATGTTTTTCGCATGTTCACCGTGTAGTTTGAAAATGAAGCGGAGCGAGTGCTTAAACGATTGGAAATTCAATGCAGTATTATTTCAGTAGTGAAGTGGTAAGCGGAGATAAGTGGACTTACCTCCCAGTTGAGTTTTTGAGGAATATTTCCGAATCTAAGGTAGATAGCGAAATTGTCGTAATTACATTTGTTGTAGCACTCAATCGGCTCCACAAAAAAGTTTTGTTTGAAACGTAACTCAACTTCTCCAAGACCAAGGTCGATTAGCTCGGCCAATTACGAAAATCATCGGTCTTTTCCGGGTCAACGCTCAGGTCTAGTAGAGTCACCGTAAATCAACGCCAATCAGTATCAAACCATCTGTCGTATAGCACGTTTTGAATGGAATTCAACTCTGTAGAGTTTAGACCACAGTACATTAGCGTCTATTAGCTCGGCGATAGAAATTCAGTAAGAGAAAATCACGTTATTTATTGACCATTCAACCAGTGACTCACAGTGCTAAAATGATAGACAATTAAATTAACTCAGTACGATCAACAAGTGACAAAGTGTTTTGTAAATTTGACAAGGCGTGGTTCGACCCCGAGAATAAATTAACGTTTATACTAGGTCAAGACTCTCAACCATTATTTCACACCGACGATCCTCTAACCTCCCAGTCCACCCTAAATCTAGTTCCTCACCAAACAAGTTTATAATAAAACTTTTGCTATCTTCCTTAGATTCCGAGATACTGATTGAAAACTGGTCAATAATCAAAATTAACTCCTCCTTTTACCACTTCGCTACTGATTTGCAATTATATGTTGATTCAATGTCAGTTAATGGTTGGAACGTATATTTATTAAGTAATGGTAATAGCATGCTTCTGTGAATTGAGGGGAATTTGTTTGCTGGAGTGGCGGAAGCATTGTAATTGCGTGGAAAATGTGAGTTATCGAATTGATAATTACGAATTAAATGTTATCTATGAATTCTGAGTTACTTTTTTCATTTTGGCACTTGAAATTGCTTCAGAAGATAAAATTTAAATGAAATTTCGGAAAAGTTTGTCGGTGCTTATTTTACTAAAGATTGAGAAAATTCCGTGTATTCATTGTTTCATTCCGTTTTGTTAGCAATATGATTAACGTCTACCTCAAATACAACTTTATGACTTTTGCCAGCACTCGACACCTCGATGAATTGCCTGCCATGACTCGTCGCTAAATTTTCCACTCACAGCAGTAAAAAAAATGTAATTTCATATATAGTTTTTTTTTCGTTCGTTTACGACTGTTTTTCCTGCCTACTTTCTATTCAGAGATCAGAGTCGACAAATCGACGTTGACTCGCTGGGGGGAAAACCAACGGTTTCAGCTGCATAACTCACTCCTCTCGTAATTACACCGCAAACAATGATGGGGAGTGAAATAGGATAAATAATAAAATCTAGAGTCAATAGTGAGTGGGCAATCACCCAACCGTTCATTCATTTGATGGGTCTCTGTATTTTACGGAATCTGAAAAAACCGCAGTTGAAAAATTGAGGGAAAAATGTTTTTTTTACGTCAGTGTTTAGACTTTGATTATCGCGGCTTCTCCACTATTTACCTTCACTTCGACTCCTTTGACCTTACATACCGGTTTTTCCCGGGGATCCCCTCATATTTTTCCCTATTTTTCCCACATTACATAAACAGTACTTGTCATTGAACACGGAAATCACGTTACTCCATAATTTTCTAATGAATTACGTTTTTTATTGGCGTAATTGATGAGTTTATCGAGGTGTTTATCGTTTATTTCTGTGATGGAGAGATATTATGGCATTGAAATAACATTGTTGCTGATTTTTTAGGGGAGAGGAATTTTTTTGCTTTTCTAACGGAAAAAGAGATGAAAAATTGCGATTGTGAAAGATTTAAGGATAATCGGGCGAGAGGAAATGTAGGAGGTGAGGCGGAGGGGTTTCTATTGTTTTCCTGCAGAAAACCAATCGCTGAGTAAAAAAAATTTTCCCATTCAAATTCAAAATTCAGGCAATATTAGGGAGTATCTCCGGTTAAAAATTATTTTTGGAGCTAATCCAATTTATTTGTATCTGTTCCACGCATTGAATGGTTTTCAGATGGTTTTTTTTAAATAAATGAAAAAATATTAATCCATGCGAAAAAGCGGCAACATCGTCGGTAGTTTTTTTTCACCAGGAGCTGGTACCACTGGCTCGAGGGAGCTCCAATCACAACGCTTCATCGCTCTCTCTCAAGAGACGTTTAAATTGACCGCGCTACCCTCACCCAATCGGTACTTGGGACGTTGCTGCTCGTTTGGGCTGCGTGCGCAGAAATTTCATTTTTCGGTGCGTTTTTCGCTATTATTAATAAACAATGCTCCTAAGCGACAATCTTTTTCACTCAAAAAATCATTGATCATTGATCATTGATCACAAAAAATCATTGATCACGGGTTAAATAACCACTTTTTCAAAAATTCATAATAAATTAACCATGCTCCCCAGCAGTCAGAAATTTTGCACACGCCTTTTCCATCATTTAAAGAATACGTAAAAAAAAAGAAAAAAAATGGCTGCTTTTTTTCCAACCTTCCCAGTTTGCCCGATTATCCTTAAATGGTTAGATCGCACCTAGCGATGAAATCTACCATCTCCACAAAAAAAATCCTTTGACTTTTCTCCCTAAATGCACTATTTTTCTATGCGTGAAATAATTGAGCATAAATTGTCGAAGCAATTTCTCATGAATGTTCACATAATAAAATTTCCATAAATTCCCAACGCATCACTCAACTTCCATTGAATCTCGTCACCTCTACCCGTCCTAAACATCCGGTTACGCCTGGGAATCCCCCGCCGCCATTAATAATCAATTCTCCGATAAAATAGCAGAGAGAAACGACAAAAAAAATGAACATGTTTTGACGGTTAATACAAGGTTGCATAACTGTCAACTCGACAGGTGGCATTTCTAATTGGAACAGGATGATATCTCGGTGCAAATTGAGGAAGTGTTATGCGCCGGTTAGTTCTATCATCAAGAGCCGGTATTCCCTCCCCCTCTTTCGTGTGTGAAACTCCTAAGTGGGCCAAATACTTCTTGCACCGGACAAAATGACGCGCTGTCTCGTGTTTCTTTTTTCTCTCGTTCTTTTACTTTTTCTCTTTTTTATTCCGAGGCGATGGTGGATTAAAGTCGCTCTTTCCAATTCCATAAGCGGCGGGAAAAGATCAATGACCTTGGGATGTGTTAAGTGAGAAAATGAGGTCATGGGATCTGTATTATTTTTTTTTCTGTGTGATGGAGTGGAGGGGTGGAGGGAATGTTGATGTTTTGGTTTTTGGGGATCATCTGGGGAATGAAGGGGCATGGGAAAAAATGCCCGAAGACTTTTTTGTTGAGATTTTTTTTCTCCTAAAAAATAATCCGCAAACTCGATTCCTACACCCAGAGGGGGGGTCAGTCCTTGAACCTTTTCAAGAAGCTGCCAATATTTTAGCTTCTTCATTAAAATATTTAACGAAACCTCGCATCTATGACAAATTAAAGTAGCTCTACCCTTCGGCCGGGCTACGCTGTACTTTTGGATATTTTCAGTTTTAAAATTTTTCAACTTAATTGCATGGAAAAAATTTGAAAAAATTCATACCCATTCAGTATTATCTAAATTAAATTTCGCAAAATACTGATATTTTTTCAAACATCTCCCTCTTATAAATAAATAATAAAACTTGTTTGCAAAACGGTGGAGTATTTTTTATGAGGTGTCAAAAAAATTCTTGATTTTTTCACATCTAATGAAAAAAAAATCAGATTTTAATCTTTGATTACAATGGAAATGTTGATTTTCATATAAGACACCGGGTTAAATCCGGATTTTTAAACATTTCTTCTTTGAGAAATTGAGAAAAAAATTAGAAATCCCAATCTAATCGAGTTTTCTACAATTTTTTTGCGGTTTTCAATAATCTTTGTATTTACCGTAAGGGTAGAGTTACTTTAACGAAAGTTGTTATATTATTTCTCCAAATTTTCCCTTGATCCCTAATTGAAAATTCATGAACATGAAGATGAACAAAATTGCTATAAAAGAATTTTCATCGTCTCAATGATTTCAAACTTTTTTATAAGGATGACCTAATCATTCCCCTGCAGCTGGGACTTTTTCGTCGTCGGGCCGCATCGGACGTGGCCAAGGGTAACACGTAGGTAGGATTAGATAGGTATGTGCTCCACCTTCCACGCAAATGTACTCACGTACACCTACGCTCTCACAATACCAGTGTAAAGGCATTTCTCAACGAATCCCTGGAATTCTATCGTGTCACCGATTCTCTATTTCTTTTATTTTCGAAATTATATCACCTGTATACACACAGGCACTGGTTTTCCCATACAAATGAGTGGCATTCCAACTCTTTCTGTTGTGATCTCATTTCAGGATTTTATTGATTGTAAACAAATCAGAGGAATTTCTCTCCCACCGATTAGGAGTTGATATCAAAGCCGATTGAATAACAACGAATGAAAAACAATTCAGTGGCGAAGTGGGAGAACGGTATAATTTTTTTTTTTTATTAAGCTTCCGAAACCCTTTTGGGCTCACTCAACTGCCAGGAAATATATTACAAGTTATCATTGCATTATAGTAAAGTATATAAAAATGGCAATAGCTTTTTAGTGTTAATTACACTTTAATTAGTTGGTGTCGTAGTTAAACGTATTTTATGTCTGAATATCGCAGCTTTTTAGGTATTTTGAAATCGCTTTAATGTCCTTTCTTTTGGGGTGTTTTAGGATGTCTTGAATATTCGGTGGTCTGGGGTTACTCTTGTTGATTTCTTTGAGGTATAAGTCAATTTTGAGTATTGACCAGTTTTCAATAAATATCTTGGAATCTAAGGGAAATGGCAAAATTTTTGTCATGACCTTTTTTGTAGAGCCGATTGAGAGCTACAACAAATGTAATCCCGAAAATTTAGCTAAAAAACTCATTGACCAAAAAAACTCATCAATTCTCCCTTTTGAAATAAAATTATTATCAATAGACATTTTTGAAATTTATAAAGTCCCTCACAAATCTGTTCTCAAAACCCTCACAATCGAGATAATTCCACGTGCATTTCCACCTCAAAACCCTTCCCCGACCCTTCGATCCTTTAAAATTTGATTTATTTTTGGCTCTGATGACTCACCTGGACCCACCTGCGGCGAATCGGGCGCACCTTGGCCACCGCAGTCCTCACGCACAAGATCTTCAAATCCTCGAAAAAAAAATCCACCCCCGAACCCCTCAACTTTCGGTCCAAAACCTCAGACGCTCACTCAACACAAAACTCAAAAACGCAAAAAAAATCAAAAAAAAATTCACAATTTTTTATTTGATTTCATGAACGTGAAGGATCGAGCCCCAGACGTTCTCGAGGACCGATCGTACACTGGCGCACACTGTAACGCTACCAATCAAGGCAGTAAGACGTGAGACTACGAAGAAGGGGCAAACGACTCCTTCCGCTTGCCTTAAAAAATTAAGACTTGAAAAAATAATTTCAAAAAATTCCCTCTCCCTTCCCCCCACTGCCAGAATTTTCTCGAAATTTTTATAATATTTTTTAGGCCCTGAAGTTTATTATTGGATTTTTTGAGAATTTTTTTCATCTTTTTTTGGGAGGATTGAGAGGGATTTAGATGGACCGAGGGACAATAGTTCCTCGGGGAGGGGAAACGAGTCGAGAGCGAGGAGGACAGTGTCCACTCCAACACATGCATTACGGACACAGCCACCATATACCGTTAACGGATTGGAGTCTACTCAATCGGAGTTTAGTTCAGTGGTGGTTGAATGTTTTTGTGGAGCAGAGACTACACGTGGATGCGGGAATTAGTGTTTTTAGGGGGTTGCGAGAGTTGGCGTAGGTCACGGGGGAGAAGGGGGGGGGGGGATAATGTGTTTTTTTTTTTAATCCGAAATGTGTCTTTAATATTAAAAATCCAAACCAACTTCTGGTGATGAAAATTTGGTACTGGAAATTGAGATTCCAAAATTAAGGGTCAAAATAAGGGTCACGAGGGTCGCAATGGGGGTTATATGGAGGTCTTATGGGGTGTTACGGTACACAAAAAAGTACTGATTCAAGTCGACGTCGTTTTGATTCCAGTTGATTTTCGACTTGATTCAAGTTGAGTGACTCGGACTACACCAGTACGAATTCCGGGTCTGGTATGAGTGGAAGAGCGGTTTATTTCAAGAAAAAATGTGTCAAGCCGACATCGGTTTGAATCAAGCCGAGAAATCAACTTGAATCACGTCGAAAAATCGACTTGAATCAAGCTGAAAAGTCGACTTGAAACAAACCGAAAAATCGACTTGAGTGAAATGTTNTGCGTTGACGATTTTTTCTCAACTCGCAAAAATCTTCAAACAATTTGCTATCGATTGGTCATAAAATTTTTTGGAAATAATGAAATAGAGGGGATAACGCCTTTTTTTTCAGAGGTGATTTTTCAAAAATTTATTTTAAAAAAAGTACTAACTAGCAAATGTTTTTTATTAGCTCGCAATTTTCTTCAAAACTACTTCAATGAGGAAAAAAATAAAAATTTGGAATATATATACATGAGGGGCTAATTGATCGGATCTCGTAAAACTTTGATTTCTGGTCCTTGCGCTCCGGTCCATCCAGAGGTCACCACTGCGCAGGCCTGTCCCCCCTCCGCGCCGACTGTTTGGTGTTGGAAGAAAATGGAGTGAAATACGTAGAAGCGTATTTTCCCTTCGATTCGATTATTCAGTATTAATATTTAAAGATAAGAATAAGTGTTTGGAATTACGTAATGACATGGTGGTGCTATTTCCGCCCGAGTGGATCTGAGAAATACCTATGGTGAGTGTTGGTGTTGTAGGATTTTTTTTTTCAAAATTTTCGCAAAAATATGTGGAATAACAATTATGAGCTATTTTTTTTAATTCGCCTCTTACATGCCTAAACTTGTTTTTTTTGTATTTTTTTTACACAAATAGTGAATTTTTTTTATATAAAAAGAACCGAAATCAGCTCTGTAGGAGTCGAATTCCAAAAAACTGGCTCGTAATTGTTATTCCCCACATTTTTCCGAAAATTTTGAAAAAAAAAATTTTTTGTAGCTCAAAAATTGGAGGCCCTGGACTGTTTTTAGCATTTTAAGCGTTTTCGGACAAACGAACAATAAAAAAAAATTTTTTGCACTAATTATTCGTTTTCAGATCTATATAATCGATCTTCAACGTATGAAAAGTCTCACTCCAATAACCCACGACTTTTACAACTCATAGTAGTATCACTTTAAAGTGAAATGTTGACAAATGACACTTTTTGTGGGAAATCTGAAACTTACGTGTTCTCAAGAAAGATTTGATTCGTCACCCACTAGTTTTTCCTCAATAGTTCATTATTTTTTTGGGTGCCACGAAAATTTCCCTAATTGAGAGTGGGGTAACCTCGAAGGTAACTGAAGGGGTTACAAAAACATCAAAATTTCATTATTTTTTTTCGGGAGACTGAGATCTGAAAGAAATTTGCGAGAATTCTCAATGATGCGGCGTACTCAGACTTTTCTCCCATGAATTTTCCATTTTTTTCTCTATTTTTACATTTTACACGAAACACCTTAAAAGAAAATCATCAAAAAGTAATATTTTACATCATGTTTCAGATTATGAAGAACTTCATAAAATGAACTGAGCATCACAAAAAAATAATATCTACAATATTGTACAAATAATGGAAATGAGGGAATGAACCAAATTCGTTGAACCACCGAATCTGAGAAGAGATCTAAGAAGATGAATGAATAGGCAATTGTAAAAAAGAACTAGTACCTAAAACTTAACTGAATTTGCACATTGACTGAATTGAATTGAATAAAATAAACTAAAATATCAATTCACTGAAATAAGATATAGATATCACTAGGGGTAAATATTTAGAATGAAAAAAGATAAAAAACAAACAAAAGATAATTGAGAATATCTGAAAATCCAGATCAAAGAACAAAAAAAGGCGAAATAGCATGGAAATGGAAGTGTCAGGTGGAGATACCAGTGAACGTCTAGGTAAGGAAAAACTAATGATTCGCCGTCGTTTGCAATTATCTCAGGATTTGAGGAGAAAATATCGAGCTACACTGTTAGAATTTTTTTGAAATTTCATGAAAGAGATTACAATAAATCTCATGAGAGTAAGATTGAATCGGATTTAGGGAAAAATGATAGTGGTCATGTGACGGTCACTGACGGTCACATGACGAGGCCCCAAGGACCGCCGGTCCGGTCACAAAAAAAATTTCCATGACGGTCCCAATTGGCCGAAAAACTGTGACGGTCATTTTGCATCTATATGATGAAACACTTTTTTGTTCATCTATTTTTTTTCTAATTAACTAGAACTCTTGACTTGGTTTATTTTGTTCCAAAGATGAAAAGTGTAATCATTCTCTCATGAGTATGCAAAAATACATGCAAGCACATGTTTCATAATTTTATAATTAAAAAAAGCTGTTGTGCAGTTGTACACATACATTTCGAGTCTTCCATAAGAACCTTATAATAAACAATAATTGATAATCAATAATAAATTGAACGAATAAACGATGCCAATTATGTAGAAATTATATGACCGTCACAAAAAACAATATATTTATGACGGTCATTTTGCACCTATATAGATGGTTTGGTAACGGAAAACATAAATGGATGAGTTATCGATGTTCATTCAGTAAAAATGAAAATTTCATTGAATTCGGGCGCAACGAGCGAGGTATTTTATTTGAAGCCCGCTGAGCCCTATTTTTCTCATCTCTATGGGCGCGCGTAGTGGGGGTATAGGGGTTCCCCGGAATTCCATTCTCCTACTGTCCCTAAGGTATCTTATACGAAGCCTCTACTGTACTCCTCTCAAGCAAATGGATATTTCTATTACAATTTTTTTTTCTTTATTTATTTTGGCACAAATAATTTTTATCTCAGTGGATGAAAGAATTGTCTGTTGGATTTTGTTGCTTTACAATGGATATGTTACGGGTTCAAATCATGTCTGATAACTTATCTGCGATGAATTAACCAAAAACCTCGATTGCCAAAAAAAAAGATCGTTTCGTAGGAGGTCAGAGGCCCTCGTCCTTCTGGATAGTCGAGTGGATCCAAATCAAAGAACTGACGACTGAATGGAGCGAGTTCAAAAAGAGCAGCATAAAATCCCCGGACCCCTGCGAGTTCTACTACAACGCGAGGATCAATGTCAGGAATGGACTGGACATTCAAGTCGTGAAGAGAAACACAAAACCAGCCAGGGCCAACATAACAGTCAGCTTCATTGACATGTCTGTGGACAAGATGATTAAGTTGTATGATTGGACGGTTGAGCATTGTTTCCACAATATCATCAAGCCCGATTTGCTGCAGGAGGTCGATAGAGTTCACATTATGGTGCTCAATGTGTGGTATGGATTCATCGACGAGATGCCACCTCCACCTTCCAAACAGATGTATCCAGGTATTTGTTACAACTTTTTCGCCGGATTAATTTTCACTATTCTATTTTACTTGATTTTCTTTGCATTTCCGTCTTCACAATTGGATTAATTTAATTTTATCCATTCTTATTCTTATATTTTTTTTTATTTAAGGCCCGGGTGTACCATCTTTCGAACGTTATCTCGATGTTTTTTTTTTCATCTTTCGTCATCTGAAATTGTCAATTGAGTCCTACACCATGCAGAAGTTTTTAAAAATTATGAATAAATAATTTAAAAAAATAGAAGAAATTCTTAATTTTTTCAAAGAGCATTTTTAATTCATATTCAGAATAAGTTGAATAACAAGAAATTGAAAAATGTATCTGATTTACGGTGACAATTGGCGGCCTGTCACCCAATATCATGCAGGGGGAAGACTGATTTCGTAAATATTTTCCCACACTGCACAGAGACATTTATTACGGAAAAGGCTCTTTGAAAAAAGTTGTAATATTTTGGAGAATTTTTTAATCACACTTTTATCACATAAAAATGGCAGATGACTACATACCACTGTTTTGAAAATTGAGATACCTAGCTGTCACTTCCCATGAGGAGTTAGTGTTTTGTTATCCCCCATGGAAAATGACAGCTAATAGATAATTTGCCACAGCGAATCAGATATTTGTAATTTCCACTTTTTTCGACTCATTCTAAATCTCAATTAAAAACGCCCTTTGAAAAAATTCAGAATTTTTTCTATTTTTTTTTATCATTCTATCATAATTTTTGGGAATTTCTACATGATGTACCACTCAATTGACAATTTTGGATTACGAAAGACAAAAAAAATTCAGATAGCATTCAAAAAATGGCACACCCGGCCCTTAATAAATCATTATTATTACCATTATTATGATAATGTCATAATAATTGATTTTGATAATGGGTGAGTTTTTGAAAAGCTGAGCAATGTTTGGAGGAAGTTTCCTCTTAGACAGTATAAACGAAGAAAATCATAAGAATTGACTCACTGTATTCCTTAATTTACTCAATTACTCACTCCAGGTTTTGAATATTTCTACCTAAACGAAGAACTGAGTGATTTCAAAATAATTATTGACGACCAGACCCTCCCCGTTCACAAATTTCTCCTGGCAGCTTCGAGTCGTGAATTTTTGAAAATGTTTGTAACCCCAATGAAAGAATCTCAAGAGAACCGCGTGGTGATCGAGGACATTGAGCTTCCGGTGATGAAGGAAGTCCTGAGGTATATCTACACAAAAGAGACATCAGCCCTGAACGACGTTCATATGGCCCTGAGTGTGCTCGTTGTCGCCGAAAAATATGGCCTCGAGACCCTGAAACACGTCTGCCAGAGTAAATTGTATAAACAACTGAGTATTGACAATGCACTTCTGATTCTCGATTTTGCTGACATGTACAATGCTGTGCAGTTGAGAAAATTCACGATTAATTTCTTGTCAGATAATAAGAAGAGGGTTGCGAGCAGAGTCGAGTTTAGGGAGCTCTATCACAGAAAACCTGAATTACTGTTTGATTTTATAACAATGGCACTTAAAGATTGAATTTGGAATTAATAAATTTGATATTGACTGCAGATTGTGGTGATCTTCGTCGCTTATTCGACTGGATTTGGTTATTTGTATACTACCTATTTAGATTTTTAATGGAATGGAGTATCCTTCATCGGTGAACCTTCACGGACAGCACTCCACAATGTTTTTTTTTACGTATTCTTTAAATGATGGAAGAGGCGAGTGCAAAGGTTCAGACTGCTGGGGAGCATGGTTAATTTATTATGAATTTTTGAAAAAGTGGTCATTTAACCCGTGATCTTATGGAAATCACAAAAAAACGGCAAAACCCAAGGAAAAAACGCAGCCAAAGTCATGAAACTTTAGACACATTCAGAACATGTGATCAANCTAAAAGTCCAATTTCCGCCACATTGTGATGAAAAATATTGTTCGTAACTCATGAAAAAATGTTTTTTGCACTCGTTACGAAATATACTATTATGTCACGAAGCCTGAAACCGGCTGAATTAGACACGAGACGCGAAGCGTCGAGTTTAGCTCGTGATATAATCCCACGAGCTAAAAAACATTTTTCATCACGCTGTGACGAAAAGTGAACTTTTCGGCACGCTCCCCGTGCCTAAAAGTCCAATTTCCGGCACATTGTGATGAAAAATATTGTTCGTAACTC